TAGCCTCCTCGACCTGCTCCTCGCCAAGCTCCCTCCACCAGCCTTCTCTGTCAACGCTATCATTGGACAAGCCAAGACCTGGCTGCCTCTGTTCATGCTATCACCGGATAACTACGACCTTGCGCTCTCTATCCACGCTATTGCTGGGCATCTATGACCTCGTTCCTCTATCCACGCTATCACTGGATAGCCAAAACTTCAACGCCTCTCTCTAAGCCCTCACCAAACAACACCACAACCTCGTTGACTGCAACAAATAAGCAAATCATCATGCCCTCTCTTCCTTCTTAGTAAACTGCATTTGATAGACCCATATACAGTTTGAGAGAGGGTGTTGAATATTATATCTAGGCTCTCTTGTTTTATTTTCTTTTAGTCCCACGTTACTTAGAATACTAGAACTAATCCAGTACTCTTGTATATAAACACCTCAATGCAATGAAGGGTGTTATCCTTTGTCCCTCAAAAGCTCTATTCTTATCAATAATGTTAGAATTAGTTCTTGGGTTATCGGGTTAGGGCCCATTAACCCATTAGCCTATTACCCATATGTAACCCTATATATACCCATGGAGATGAATGAAATAGTATGCTCTGATTTTTCTCACTTCTAACATGGTATCAGAGAGGTTCTCCAAAACCCTAACCCTACCACCTCCAAAACCCTAGCCGCCAAACACCAAAAAAAAAAAATAAAAAAAAATATTGCCTACTTGTTTCTAACGCGAACCCTAATTTCCTCACCTTCCTCCTTTCCATGATCCCGATCCTTGGTCCTCCACCTTCGTCCTCGTCTTCTATCGCGAGCGCTGCCTGCCCAGAGTATCTCTCGAACCTCCCGCCCTTCGTCTTTCAATAGCTCGCGCTGCTTGGCTCGCGATCGCCTTCGAAGCTTCGCTGCACCCGATCTCCTTCGCGCTCTCATCGCCGCTTGGCATCCCTCTCGAAGCTCGCCCGACGCTTTGCACTGTCTCCGAAGCTTCCGCCTGCACCCCCGATCTCCTTCGCGCCTTCGTCATTCGTCGCCCTTTGGCATCGCCTTCGAACCCTTTTTTTTGGCGTAGTTGAATGTCGCTGTTCAGTCTGAGAGTTTTTTTTTTCGCTTTTTGCTTGTTTTTCCGTTTTTTTGTTTGGTTGTCTGGCCGCGCTGCTTTAATTTGTTTGGGCTTCTGTTTACCTTGTTTGGCCACCAGCTTGGGTTTGGGCTTCAGTTGCAGGGGCCGGCGCGGAGTCTGAGGTGTAGTAGTTGGAGTCTGAAGTTCTGTAGCAGCTCTAACAAACAAAAAAAACCCCAAAAAAACAAACAAAAAAAAAACAAAAAACAAAAAAAACAGAAAACCAAAAAAAAATTGGTTAAATTAATTAACCATTCGCGATTTTCCATTTCTAACCCTTCGCGGCCTTCCATTCAACCTTCGCGGTTCTAACCTTGCGCGGTTCCATTCTTACACCTTTCGGGTTCATTCTAAACCTCTCGCGCCGTGTCCATTTTAACCTTTTACGTACGCGTGCGGTTTCTATTTTAAAAAGACCTTCGGGTTTCCTATTTTTAAAACCTTCGCCAGCCCACGTTTTATTTTAAACCTTTCCGGGTTTTATTACACGGGCAGATTGGTGTGCATCCTCCTGTTATGTCATTATCCTGTATGTTGTAACTAATGACAGGATCTGACAATCTCTTCTGCTGCAATTACTACGCCCTACTACTACTTGGAATTATCTTCTGCCTCCCCAAAGTTGTATTGGGCAACCACTAGCTGAAGTTAAATGGCACAAACTATCTTCTTTAGGCCTCAGGCCTTTCGCATTTTCATTGGAGCTCAGAACAAATTAGCTCATCTTCTAGCCCCCTCCTGCTTCTACTGATCCTACGTATACCGCATGGATCTCTTTGCTGACTGGCCTGATGCTTGATGACTTGGCTCCCTTAATAGCATGGTAAGCCCAAAATCAGTAGCGTGTTCCATGTCCGAACACTGCTAAGCGAAATGTGGGCATAATTTAAAAATTATGCTACTGGGCAATGAAGAAAAATGCATCCCGTGTGCTGCTCGCAGTTGTATGAACCGTC